TAATATTGTAAGGTTCATGATCTTTGGCTTCACAAAGTGTTATTTCCATTTCTATTTTTTATGCTTATTTCAGAATTTGGAATTTAACAAATCTCAACATTGAACTTAAAGATGCAATTGAAAATCACAAGGGTCGGATTGATATGATTCCTAATTTTCGAAAGAAACCCTATTACAATAGAAAAATATTTAAGATGTGGTATGATTGCCAACTGAGACAACTGACCAAATGATGTGGATGTCAGCAACCATTAGTTTTGATTAATATGTGCATCCACACTAGTAGTTGTATTTAAATCGGAACAGACATTTTTATCTCAACATCATCTGAAATGTTTGAACATAAAAATGTTAAAGTTAAAGTTCAGGAACTTTTAAGATGTGTCCCATGTTGAAAATCAAGTTGTTTACGAAACAGATCTTAATTCACCGCAAGGAAGGGTCTTGACAGAACTTAGTTTACTGCCGATATATTCCACCTCTTTTAAACTAAATCAGATATGGCTGAACATTGACTAGAAAACTGAACATGACTTACAAATTTATTCGCTAAAAGTAGTCAGCTCAGATCAAGATCAATTGGGCCTTCCAATTAAAATTTCATTTACAAGTACCAGTTATATATTACTCTATCATGGCTCTGTTTACAATATCAAATAAAGTCAACAGTAGTATACCGCTGTTGAATAGTCATAAATCGATTAAGCGAAAACAAATCCGGGTCACAAACCAAAACCGAGGGAAACACATCAACTATAAGAGGAAAACAACGGAACAGCAGAAACACTGAACTGCAACAAAAACAAACACCAACATGCATAGAAACGGACTATTTGATAACAACTGCCATATTCCTGACTTGGTACAGGACATTTTAAGAAAAAATGGTGGGTTGAACCTGGTTTTATGGCTAGCCAAACCTCCCGCTTATATGGCAATGTTAAAAATAGCGCTAAAATGACAACATTACGTGACAGGAATACAGTACAAATAAACGCAAAAACACTCAGGACAGAGAAACACATTAATAAATAATATAATAGTACATTACAACATGTAAACCACCGAATAACAACGGACACCTCCCATGAATCCACGACAGCACACCAGGACATCACAAACGAATTATAAACTGTGTGTCACACGAATGTATCAACGCCACAAAAAGTGACGTATTGTTTGTGATTTTATATCATCACAGGGTAATTTCTAAAGATAGAATAGATTTGTTGTATTGTAGACACGTACAAGAATATAAGATTAAGTTTGTAATGGTTTTATTTTATGTATATTCTAACCAAGACAAGATTATTAAAATGGAATTGTGTTTGTAATGGTGTTATTTGTATTTTCTAACCATATAAAAAGAAGATGTGGTATGATTGCCAATGAGACAACTCTCCACAATAGACCAAATGACACAGAAATTGACAACTATAAGTCATCGTACGGCCTTCAACAATGAGCAAAGCCCATATTGCATAGTCAGCTATAAAACGCCCCGAAATGACAATGTCGGTTTTTCTTCTAAATCAAAACTGTGTATAAACAAAAAAAAATCCTGTGCATATAATTGCTTTAAAAAGGAAATAGCTGATTAATTATCATAAATTAACTTTTACATACATATCGAAAATAAAAATAAAAAAAATGTAATATAAGGCAAGATAATGTAAGACCAAACAGTAAACACACTTGAAAACAAACAACGTAAAACAAAAACACTGTAGACGAACCACGAGTCACTCGACTATACTGACAATTTGAATAAGACATATGTGAAATGTTTCGAAAATACAGAATTCAAACCACAAGAGATAAGACATAACACAATATCGAACCAGACTTACAAAAGAAACATCATAACTAAATGCATGAATGTTGGATGTATTAATACCGAGACACGTCGTATAGCAATGCGAATTCACACTCGTCGAAACAGTCATATTCGGGAATAGGTAACATTCGGTACTTAGCAGACCAGACGACGTAGATGGTAAATCACAATCTAAGACGTGGTTAAAATGTCTTTAGTTAGTTAAGACACAGACACATCGTATATACCAACCAGTTCGTGATGGTGTCCATACAATTTACGGAGTGTCATTTTTAATCTTTCCACCTCATAACTCTGTTGGAGCAGTTTCTGATTTAGGAGCACACTCCTGTATATGAAGTCCATATAGTGTGAACATGCACGAGCATATCTGTTCTTACAACCTTCGTAATTTCGTTATCAAATTTTAATAATAATATTTACTATTCAATGATTATGCGGAAAATATTGGAATTCGTGAAATAGATGTGTTCCTTTGATAGTCAGCTTTTGTCTCTTTTGACTATTGTTTTAGAACTGATGTCCGGTAACCGTCAAGTAATCATATGCATATGTGTCTGCATACAGTTCTCAATTTACGACGTATGGCTAGACACTAAGGTACTTAACATGTAACGGGGAAGTCCAAATAATTATGACGTCTTGAAAGGTTATTTTAATTTTTTTCTGTGATGCCTTCCTACGACGTTATAAGGGAGCTACCATTTGATTTTTATGTGGGAGCTAGGATGAAATTTGAAAAAAAATATGGTAGCTCCCTAACGCTGAAGCCATTATTTCCGTCTGGACTTTGAGAGAGAATTTTGGGGGGAACTTTGAGACCCAATTTTGGCAGGAAATCTTCATTAACGGTTAGAATTTTTGCAAAGATACAAAGTCTCACCTTTTTTGTGCTTATTGGTGCAAATATTCCCAGAAATATCCAAAAGAAATGATTAATAAGATACGATTCAATTTGAGGTGGGTAAATATTTATTTCTCTCTCAAAGTCCAGACGGAAATAATGGCTTCTGAGCGTTATAACGTCGTAGGAAGGCGTCACAGAAAAAAAATTAAAATAGCCTTTCAAGACGTCATAATTATTTGGACTAGTAACGGGGTTAAACTACTAATTGTTATTTGTTTTTAACCTAATTCTGTGAAACCAGACATGCACCAGAAAGACACCATCATGTAGTAATTGAAGCAGTGTTTTCTGCGTATAAAGAAAGGAAAAAAGAATCATAGCTTTTCGAAAACTTCCAAAGATGTGTTTCACACTGCAGAAATGTTCATATAATAAATTCATTATTACGATATCAGGATTAAAATATTGTACGCAAGACGTGTGTTTCGTCTACAAAAGACTCATCAGTGACGCTCGAATAAAAAAGTTTAAAAGGCCAAATAAAGTACGAAGTTGAAGAGCATTGAGGACCCAAAATTTCGATGGGTTTTGCTAAATACAGCTAAGGTAATCTATTTCTGTAAGATTGTTTTCAGAAGGGGTTGTTTGTATGGGTGTGTACGTTACCATTCCCAACTCAGTTTATCTTATAACCATCCATTTAAAGATCAGATTCAACTAGTCTACCTTCTGCACATACTGTTTTATTTTCAAATTGCTATAGACAACACTAAGGTGATGTGTTGGTTTATCGTCTCTCTTGTCAGCAATGATGTTTTTGAATACTAGTTTGTATCTACTGTATTTATTATCAAAGCTGTTGGTGTAGTTCTCATTTTGATATATTAACTTTCAAGGGGATGCCATGTCAATGTTATCTGATAAGGTTTCCAGTGTTAAAGTTTAATTTTGACAGTCAAATCTACTCTCAAAGACACTTTGGTTTTAGCTTCAAACTTACACAAAAGTATTTATAAATCTTTAGCCACGTTTTCGGCTATTTTTGTTCATAAGAGTAAATCCAGAAAAAAAATTGAATTACATATGGCATTAACATAATAATCTGAAAATAAAACTAACTCATGATGGTGACAAAGGTACATATATATTATTCTATGCTGAATGTTCACTGACTTTACTTTTACTTTGTTCTGTACACTGAACATCAGCTGATATAGATAAAATGTGTCCTTAAAATAAAACATTCACTATTTTGAATGTTAAATCATTTTTTATGTTGTATAGTTATGAAGTCAAACATCTCCTTTTATACTTTGATATTTGTTCTCCCAGACCCAGGTATCAAGTACTCCCATCTTTGTCGATTCCATTTATTTTTTTAAATTATCTTCAATATCTCATAAACCTCCAAGGAACATTGAATAATGTATGGCATTTATGAGTTAGAAAACTGTCCACTCAAATACTATTTGATTAATAATTAAACTACTATTTAATAAATGGGACACATATTATGCCCCCGCTTCCATATAACATTATAAAGGGACATAACTCAAGAATGCTAAAAGTGACTCTACCCAAATTTGTATTTGATCTGAGTTTTGTGGTAATAAGCATTGAGTGTAAGTTTCATAACATTTGAGGCAAACTAAAGTTAGAGAATGGAAACAAAAAATTCAGCAATTTTTCCATTTGTAAAGGAACATAACTCTAGAACGATAAAAATGACGCCACCAAAATTCACCCTTGATCTGTGTTTTGTGGTAATAAGCATTGTGTATAGGTTTCATAACATTTGGTTGAGGCAAATTAAAGTTAGAAAACGGAAACCAATTTTAGGACATACGGACGGACGTACAGATGGACAGGGATAAAACTTAATGCCCCCTCTGCTAAGGCGGGGCCATAAAAAAATAATAAAACAAAGATATGTTCCAAAACTGTATCCTTCAAATGCCTAGTAAAGTTATTTAAAGCACCATAAAGCACATTACATAATCAAGTTTTCCCATATAATTTGATAGTCATTGACAAAGTATCAGCATTTTCCTGTATATGCATGAAATATTTGTCACTAGTCATTCACCAAATAACAATCAAAGTTTCAGCCTATCAGAGGCCAAGTACAATAATGACTTAAGATAAAAATTCTAATGTACACTATTATAATCCTGGTATCTTCCAGTTTTTTGGCTGACAGGGATATGATTGACCAATCAAATTTAAAGAAGTTGGTCATTGCATGGTCCTCAAGCAATGGAACATTTACATCATTTTTGGATTAGAAGTTATAATGCCTTATAAAATAAAATGATATGTATGTATTAAGTGGTTTAATATCTCAATAACAAATGTTTTATACAATTGTTCACAAAAACTGAAAATCAACAAACACTCATATTGTCCATTACATTTTCAAAGGCACTTCAGTAGTTCATTATAAAAACAAAGTAAATGAATGATGTTGAAGTTCATTGAAAATATCTCAAAAAGTTAAAATCCTGAGCATCAGAAACAATGTATACTCAAAAATATTACTAAACTGGCTATTTTCAATAACTTGAACTTTTCTGCTTTTTTAAAGCTATCTATTTGGTTATGTTCAGTCAAATTCAATGTTAACATAAAAACACATACATTCTCATATAATGAAAGTAACCAGATAGATGTTTCCACACTTTTGCCACATCAAATATCTTCTGATTTAATGTTTTTATCATGTAGATAAGTCATCAATTGTGCATTGTTTTCAGTAACATAAGCTTTAATTTAAACTTACACGACTTTTATTTTCCAGTGAACACTGAATGTCAATAACATTTGTTTGTGATTAAATCAGAAAGACATTTGTGTAAATATAAAACTGACACTGAAATACCTCTCATCTAAATTATAGTTTATTTGAGAGCTATTTCAAAATAAAATGTATGGGGTTTGAGGGGTTAAAAGGCATTTTTTTCTGCAATACCCCACTCATACAAATTTATTAAATAATTTAACTCATTATTGTGTGAAAGGTTGTTTTGAAATCCCACTTACATGTATTTTCAGTGCCTTTTATCCCCCTGGATTTAATTTAGGGATAGCCCTTACATTATTCTATTCAATAATCTCAATGATTGCATTTGCATACAATGATACATAAATGGAAAATGATTTGATTAAAATTTGTTCTGATTTGATGAAATTAAGTTACTTCTTCTTTAATCACATGTTTATTATTCATTTACACATATTTTATGAAAAGCATAATGTATTGAAACGAATAAAATTAAAACTTCTTTAAAACTTCTTTTACCACACAAAAAAAACAATAAAATAATGAAAACAGTAAACTCAGATTACTCTTAACTTGTAACAAACATATATTGGCTTTTATCTTCTGATTTTGAAATTACAAACAATAAAAAATAAAGGATGCTTCAAGGAAAATATGAATCTATCATCTAGAACAAGAGTTATGGTGGAAAAAAAACATTGACCCTGCAGTGAAACAAGGACAAAGAAACACCTATATAATATGAAAGCTAATTTTTGATGTGGTATCAAATGTAAAATGACACATTTTAAACCTTATCTTTCATACACATTAAAACATATCTCTATCTCACAATCATAATTATGCTATTTTGCTTTCTTTAACTTAAAGTTAATTATAAATAGACCTAAAATTTTCCATTTTTTGTTTCATCTGCTTAAATGATTTTGACATTGTGATCACAATATAACCTGTTGTATTTAATTGATTTAGACTTGTTAATAAAATAATTTCATAGAATTTATAACAAAGATTTTAACAGTCAAACGACTACAATGGCCTCCAATAGTTCGGACTAGTTAAGTATTTATAATAGATAGTAGTTTCAGGACAAATATTCAGAAAATGGAAGCAGATATGAAGTTTTTCGGAGTCTTATTTTTTTCTGGAAAAAGGTAACCTAACTAGTTTTCACTTTGACTTTACGTTTAATAAAAAATTTTCTATGCGAGTAAAAAGTCCAAACTTTCTTTTTATCTATTTTTTTTTTTTTAAATTACATGGACAGATGTTTCAAAAACATGAATTCAGTTTGTTTACAGTGGATTTCATTTGTTGAAAATCATAATACAATATATCGGTAACAAGTAATATGGTCATAAAATTAACTACATGGTTCTGTGCTTCATAAAATAATCTGCATGTTATCCAAAGTCTAAAAAAATCTATTTCTTGTTTAGGGTTTTAATGAACTGGTTCCCTTTTGTTTTAGGTAAAGCTGAATTTAAGTATCTTGCTCAATACAACATTGTCTGAAAATAAACAAGTATATCAATGGAAACTTAAGTCTTCAATTAACAAAAACAAAAACATCAAGGTTGAATACACAATAATATCGTATATTTGTAAATCACAGAGCTTATAGCATAAAAGGTATTACACAGCAATCAAAATTTTACTAATTGATTGTTGAATGCTTAAAGCACAGTACAATCCAACAGCAAAATCCCTTTCACTGTATTCAATGAAACACAAACAGACATAAGAATACACACAAACATGATTTAAGTACTTTCAACATTGTCAATACTGTTTTATGATTATCAGTTTTATCTTGTTACAATAATTATCTAAGATTATCATTCTTATTTTGTAACAGTACTAATCTAAGATTATCATTTCATCTAAGAATAATATCTATGTCTAGATTGAACAGGAACTTAACTAAAACTAACCATTAATCTTGTCATTTAAACATGTCCGATCTTTTGAAACTGAAGGTGGTATAATGCAAGTTGCACAAATTATTGAAAAAACGTTTTGAGATATGATCAAAATAATAAAGGATCTAAATTATTACTGTATGTGACCTGTGATTATTTTTATAATGACTACATGTATTTCATTATTGTGAAATAATGATTTATTGCTCACCAACTTTTATCTATTTTAACAATTCTATTAAAAATGATAATATTCTTACCAGATTATGATAGAAAAAAGCATTTTTTAAGGCAAGAGAACAATCTAGTTACTTATTTGATAATAATACTAACAGAGGAAAAAACTGAACAAGAAAGCAAGCTTAAATTTTTCATATTGTTTATATCACTATCATCATATTAAACATGAAATATTTGAAGCAATGTCATACAAGTTGAAATGCTTACTATGAAAACAGTACCAATTTGATTTTATAAAATAAAAAAAATGACATAGTAACTTATTTGAGTAATGTGGTAGGTTTGTAATCAAATGTTTATGTTGGTTTCTGACTTATGATTGAAACAAATTAATGCTATGAACTCTTCCAGAGATTGTCTTCTCTTGAGCAAATAAAGTCTATCTGAGCAAGACCTTAAAATAGATATGTTAAATCTCCTATGATCGTTTAAAATACCAGAAAAATCTGCAGAATATGAAGACGACAAAAAAATGATTTCAATTCTTCAGAAACAGCTTCTCAAAGAGCACCTTATGCACGTGTTCTCACATCAGTGAGAGTGAACATATACACTTATTTAACTAACAAAAGAGTGTGCTAAAATTTTGTAACACATACTTGTTAGTGGAGGACATGTAAAAATAATAAATAAAGTCCCATTACTCTGGAACTGCATAAGTAAAAATTGTTAAAAAGTATGCAGACCCTTAAACCACCATTCCTAATAATTTGGTATGAAGTAAATCACTCCAGGCATTCTTGAGTTAGTGCATGACATGCTTACACCAGATGGATGGGGGGACAAAAGGTTACAGAGAATACGTTCCACTTAATGTCTGTATAAAAAGGGCTGCTGCATATATTTACTTTTTCTAAACTCCTTTCAATATACATGTAAACCTTTACAAAATATCAAAACATAAATTTTCATAAAAATGTACTGGCCATTCATATTTTATAGAAGATATGAGCTTGTTTTCAATAGAAATGATCAAATGCAAAATAAAGTGGCTGGGCTGTTCTGCTGTTCAATGTAAAAGAGGGTCAGGAGGCATTTACCCCCCCCCCCCCCCCCCCCCCCACCACCACCACCACCATTCGCCCATCTATCAAGTGGTTATTTTGTACACCCTGTCAAAACCTATACCACAGTTTCTAGAACACCCCCTAACAAATCAATTACATCTGCTACAGTTATGTTTTTTTTTCAGATTGGTATGGTAAAAATATTGTAAAGTCTGACTAGATGGTCAACATTATTACCCATTATCATTTTAACATTTGGCACTAGATCATAAATTCAAATTTTAATGATTGTAGATGACTCACACTGTCAAATTATAATTGCTGAAGTAGTAATACATATATTATCTGCATATCTAATATTCGTATCACAAATCAAAACATAACTGAAAAACTTTATAAAAATTAACTTCTTCATTACTATCCCCATTCAAAGTTTGCAGATGAAAAGAAAACAACAATTTTTTAATATTATGAGTAAAAGAGTTCAAATAATGATTACTACCTTATAATATGAGAACAGGAAAACCATTCATGTCTAAAGAGCTAAGATATTTCAATTTTTTTTTCTTTTATCATCTAATTTATTGGATTAATGTTAAATAAATGAAACCATAGATTACATTTCATTATATTTACAACTCAACCTGAGTTTTATCATCAAATATGAGACTACACACATAATTGTTATTTGTTACAATTGGACATCATAAATACATGTCATGCTGTGCAATTTACAGAAATAATTTGCATAAAACATAAAATATATTATTAATAATTAGTGTACAAAGAAGTATTTTACATCTACAATTATGTCAGGAATGTGGATAACATGGAGCAAAACTCAGGGAACAAAAATGTAATTTACTTGACTTATCAACATACAGGAAAAACCAATGTGTAAAATAGTAATGTTTCTTTCATATCTATTATCTTTTAACTAAGAAATTAAAATTGAATGTTCCATCCATTCATGCTGCTTCCTTAATTAAAACAAGTTAAAAACCATGTGATGAATTATAATTCCATCCAAGTGATTTTTTTCCTTTCAAAGATTCTAAAGTGTGTAACACATGCAAACTCATTTTCGACCTTCAAAAGGCAACTATGTCCTTGGAATAATGTTGCTCATGGAATATTCAAAATCAACATTTCACACTTGACTAAAAAAATCCAAACAATATCTTACATGCACCAGAATTTTAATTCAACATTTTGAATAGTAAAATTGCATATATTATTAAAAAAAAAATACTTTAAATTCAGAAATTATTGCATGCATTTATTATTGCAATTTTTGAAGAATGGACAAAAATGCGAGATTAATTATTGCGATTTTGGGAAAATCTGCATACACATATATGTATCAGATATAAGAATGTGAGTTCTTAATATTGCAATAATCACCCAGTCACATTATTCGCATTATTAAAATCCTCGCAATAATTTCTGAATTTACAGTAATAAAAAAAATTAATGCACCAAAAAGGCACAAAGGTAATGAAAAACAATTAGGTTCTTTGATTACAGTATTTAAGGCATTGAGAATATTATTTCCAAATCTGAACTAGGTCATGTATATGATTTTCAATTACACTTAGTACATTGCAAACTTTTATGTTTGCATCCTTTAGAAGTTTATCTTGTTAGTTGGGCAAAAATGTAAATAGTGTGTTTGCCCTTTCACCAAATTATCCCTATCCAAAAAATATTTACTTCTATTTCCATTCAATTAAACATATTTTGCTAAAATTTAGAAATTTATTGGTTTTCATTCAGATAAATTTTGAAAAAAAATGGAGTAGAAATTTTTAACAGCTTTGAAAGCTAGTCTAGTAAAACTGAAACAACAAATGTTTGTCAACTTTCAGCTGCATTTTTTTAACAAAAATAAATAATCTCTTAAGATATCTACAAGCCTCTTAACAAAATATGCAATTGCCAAATACACTCTTTTATTTAAAGTTTATTCTATTTTTCTAAATCTAAATTTTGTACCTCAAGAAAGATTTTTTTTTGACTGAATTGTTTGCAATGGATACAGAATAAACAAAAATTGTTACTTAAAATCAAATTGTTCTCTTGCATATATAAAGAAATTGTCTCATCAAATAAGAAACTACATTTATTTAAGATCTCAGTTATACATTTTGTAGAAGCTTATATTAAATTTTATGTCTGAATTTCAATAATAGCTTTTCCAGAATTAATTGCACTAGTTGTTGGAAGGCACTTGAAATGAAATATGACAGCCAAAGGTTGTTTCTGTAGATCTGTTTTAGAAAACCAAGCAAAAAGTCAATGAAAATTTCATCTAGGGTGTGTTATATGAAGTCCCTCCCTCCTCTACATTTATTTCTGGAAAAGGTCCCAACTATCATTTTCTTCTCAATGTACTAATGACTATTTTTTCTAACATTTTTTATTATAAAATTATAAATTTAATATATTTACAATTGTTAAAACAAAATATATCTACATTTGTAACAATCAATTATGCATATTTTAATCAGCATATTTTATTTATAAGAGATCTGCATGTGGTTACCACAAGATATCACTATAGAATTTCTCTACTAAAACAATCTCTATCACTAGGTGTCACTCTAAGTTAACTTCCTCTTTTAAAATACAACACAGCAGCTACAGCAGCAAGACAGCACACACCAACTGCTATATAACCTATGTTAGATGGTAGAGTGTAATTAAGGGCATCACTCTGAAAATATAAATTATTCAAATTTAATTTCTGTATGCATTATTCCCCTTTCAACAGTTCCTCCATCAGTATTTAACAAATAAAAACTTGAAGAAAAAAAAAATGTTTTGCATTTTGGGTCACAGGCATCAGATGACCCATAACAGTTTAAAATGTCATCATTGCAAGATATGAGTATTGTAGATACACTTTGGACAGCTATTAAAATAAATGGGGCATGTGTCCATGGGATTTCATAACATTTGGTTGAGGCTAACTTAAACAAGAGAACAGAAACGAAAAATACACCAATTTTTCCATTTGAAAAGGGACATTACTCTAGAACTGTTAAAGTGATGCCACCAAAATTCAAACATGATCTGTGTTTTGTGGTAATATGCATTGTGTATACGTTTCATAACATTTGGTTGAGGAAAACTAAAGTTAGAGAACGGAAACGAAAAATTCAGCAATTCTTCCATTTGTAAAGGGGTATAACTCTAGAACGGTTCAAGTAATGCCACCAAAATTCAAACTTGATCTGTGTTTTGTGGTAATAAGCATTGTGTATAAGTTTCAAAACATTTGGTTGAGGCAAACTAAAGTTAGAGAACAGAAACCAACTTTGGGACAGACGTACGTACATACGTACGGACGGACAAGGGTAAAACTTAATGCCCCCTCCACTACGACAGGGGCATAAAAACATTCAAATTAAGGCCAGGGTTTTTTATTTTGTTGTTTACAGATCTGCCGACCCTATTTTTATGATTTTCCCCAAAAAAATAAAATAGATATTTACGATTTTTTATTTCGCCGACCCCAACAAATACAAATACAATATCCATGAAATATAAATAAAAATATCTGCGCAGTAACTTTTCCTGAAATTAAAAACATTATTTTAGCGTGTTAAAATATTAACAGAAAGAATAAAAATCTAAAAATAATCCATAGCATTTATGTTCCTAAAAATAGACAATCAAAACTTACCTTGAAATGTTGTTTACACAAATATTTTACGAAACCTATGTTAAAAGCCAATTATAATAAGTTAGTTTTCCTTTTTTTCCATAATTCCTTAAGATTTTTCATCTCATAGATGAAATGGACCAGTCCAAACGTGAAAGATGTCAAGTAAAAAGTAACAGATATCCACTAACAATATGGGATTCTCTTGTTTCATATATTGAAAAAAAAAAAAAATGGGGAATGAGTCCATGGGACACAGATGATGCTTCTGCTTGCATATAACATGATAAAGGGACATAACTCAAGAACGGTAAAAATGACGCTACCCAAATTTATACTTGATCTGAGTTTTTGTGTAATAAGTATTGTGTATAAGTTTCCTAACATTTGGTTTAGGCAAACTAAAGTTAGAGAACAGAAACTAAAAAATATTGAAAATTTTTCCATTTGTAAAGGGACACAACTCTAGAACAGTAAAAGTGACGACACCAAAAATTAAACTTAATTTGTGTTTTGTGGTAATAAGCTTTGTGTATAAAATTCATAACATTAGGTTGAGGCAAACTTAAATTAATGAACGATTACGAAAAATTCAGCAATTTAGCAATTTGTAAAGGGACATAACTCTAGACAGGTAAAAGTGACGCCACCCAAATTCAAACTTGATCTGTGTTTTGTGGTATTAAACATTGTGTATAAGATTCATAACATCTGGTAGAGGCAACCTTAAGTTAGAGAAAGGAAACCAAATTCGGGACGTACGGATGGATGTACAGACGGACATGGGTAAAACTTAATGCCCCCTCCGCTATGGCAGGGACATATAATGTTTGTCAATTTGGATATCGAAATCAGGATTGCTGGCCAAAAGATGAAACCAATATCCTCGTTTTTTCCTTTGGACAGGTCTACTTCATTTATGAAATGGATGGTAAAGAGTTATTTTCTTGTGACTAGTATGCAATTCTTATTTCATATGTTTTTGTGCTTGAATTTCATTGTTCAATATGTTTCCTGAAAGTTGATAAAAAGCAATATAGCTATAGCTGGGTTTTTTTCGTTCGTGAAATGACCATTTATTTCCCATTTGTCCTTGAACATACCCCCTTTTTACAAACTTATATATGACGATGGCAGGCATTGTACGTGTAAAACGGCTGAGCTCTAATTTTTGGAACTAGTAATTAAGAAAAGCATATAAAATCTATTGTAAATTAGCTGAAATATATATTTAATCTATACATATTTCTGTCTTGTAAGATATTTTTTTTCTTTTTTTTTTCAACTGACCCACCCGACTTTTTCACATAAAAAATCTGTAAACCTACAAATTAAAAAACCCTGGCCTAAGTGAGGACAAAAATGCCTTTGTAATTACCAGCACATGATATTTATATTTATCATTATAATATGGATCAAGAAGTAAAAACAGTAAAGTGATTTCTGGTATGTTATTATTACAGCAATTACAGTTTCAATAAGGTATACAGGATTGTTGTAGGAACTTTTTCTTTTTTTTTTACATTATAACAGTCCCTGTATTTTTTTTTATTAAAGTTTTGTACCATGTAATTTGGAAGTTGAGATGTATTGAATCGATGCATTCTGAGAATTTCCTTGTTTTTATGGAACCAAATTTGGTGAATTAAAAAAATGAAGAATGAAATTTTCATTTATAGGATACTTTATTTTTACAAAATCTGTATACAAGCCTACAGATAATTTATATTTTGTCCATTGACCCATGAAATCCAAGATGTCCATTGACCCAGGAAATCCAGCATGTCCATTAACCCAGGAAATCCAGGAAAATAAGTACCTCATGAATAATAATGTATCAACAATATATCTAATGATTGTACCTGATGTAGATGAATCTATTTCTGGAACTTCAGTCACAAGAAAAAATATCCTACCAAATAGGACTTGTATCAGTGTAATTGTATATCTCCATCATAATGGAACTTTAGACAAATACTGCAGATTCATTATTATTCGTAGGATACTAATTTTCGTCGATTTCGTTGGTATACAAAATGGTATAGGTGAACCACGAATTCAAATGTCTAACGAAGCACAAATTTTCCATAGGCATGTATGTAGACCTCATCAAAACCACGAAATATTATATCAACTAAAATGCAATGTCCTCAATCCACAAAAATTTTTATTCATGAAAATAAATGAATTCACAGAAGATTAACTATGACAACTTACCCATCCACCTCGTTGAACAATCCATCCCACTATTTTTTCCCTGATAAATCTGACTACATAATGAACTATTAGTTTTACAAACTGTCCAAACTGAGAAGCTTTTTCTTTAGATACTTCTATCACAATACGATAGGCAAAGCATAATAATGCTGCTACACGTCCCCAGTTTATACCCTCAGCAAAAATTCTGTCAATAGACAATAAACATGGAATATTTATGTAAACATAATAATACTGCTACACGTCCCCAGTTTATACCTTCAGCAAAAATTCTGTCAATAAACATGGAGTATTAATGTCAACATAATAATGCTGCTACACGTCCCGTTTATACCTTCAGCAAAAATTCTGTCAATAGACAATAAACATGGAATATTTATGTAAACAAAAATACCTATCCACACTTTGTGTCAGATATGGCTGTATGAGGAGTTTATATAAAACCACTAATTGAACTGGTTACGTAATAAATATGACTAAATATGAAGTCATGCTATTCACTAGTTTCTGATATAAGTTCAATGAAAGTATTTGTTTTCATTCAACATGTTTCAAAATTCAAAGTATCAGCAAAACGATAGAACTCGACTGACAGATCGGAAAGGTGCTAACACTTTACAACTCATCAATGTGAAGCTGACCAAATATAAAGTATTTCAGTTCTGTAGTTCCAGAGAAAAGCACAAAAAAAATGTGTATGGCAATGTAACAATTGTAAGCTTATTATAGGATTAAACACCTTTTTAAAGGAATTTATTGGTGTATATAAACAGGACCAATTCACCCACAAACAAATATGATCCAGTTTATACACCAATAAATTCCTTTTAAAATGCATTTGATCCTCATAATTCTTTAAAATTGGAGATAAGGCATTTAATTTCCCCACTCGTAACCTCTATCACACATAAATTGTATATTTGTGAATTGACCTGGCGCGTGAATACATTATGGTTAACGCAAAAAAAATGTACTCCATGATATTTGCTATCTGATAAAAAAATAAGCTACAAAACTATCTTATTATTATTCAAATTAATGTTTTGTGTTTATCATTTAATTCAACGATAAACGGGAAGTGAAAATAAATATTTTAAACGTCGAGTCGGTTTGTGTTATAATCGCCGCTATCTCATTTACATTGGTTACAAAAAGTAGTTCCGTCAACATCGTCTATCGAAAAAAAAAAATAACTTCAAGAGCCACTACCTGAAGCCATCTTGACCAATCATATAAACGTATTCCCTAATATGCAAATCATATAAGAATTATATACAAATAGAATCAAAGTGCTTGTGAAAACTGTAGGGTAAGTATTGCTTTCATTTTGCATTGTGAGCTAAAAATGCATTGTATCAAGAAACAGATAATATTAAGGCAATATTTGAATTTCAGAGTTATATGTCAGTCCATAATTGTAGATAAAACACAAAGATGCCCTACACTACTTTCTATAACTTATGTAATTATCAATAAAATAGTTTTCTTTACAAGTACAGTTATTCACATGCAGATGATTTTGTAACCAGAATACCTGAGTATATATGTATATCATAAATAAATTGCTTGAAAATATACCAACAACTTTAATTTATTTTTGACTGTGGTTTCTGGTAAATGCAATCTAACTAGTTTAAATAAACCAGAAATAAACCTTCTTACTTTTTGGCAACTCTGGCAAAGACATCATATGCTGTGTCTTGAGTAATTCTCAATTGTTGTATCATATCACTGAACTCATCAGCATACCTCCTATTTATATCATCACCAATAACGGCTAGCTGCCTGCCTACTTGTGATGCTTGACTGAAAAATAAAGGTACAATGTAGTACAATGTAGTATGACAAGTGCTTTGGATGAAAAAAATGTATTATATAAGTTTCAGCAGCCACTGCCACAGCTGTTTTGGGTCTCACAATATTTATAAGGAAGCAAAAAATTGTACAACCTCCATCAAAATGTCTTATTTTTCCTTAATCAACATAATGTACACTAGAATAGCTAAATACAGTGCAGAAAAGTATGATTCTTATGAAAATGTCTTTACCATCAAGCTTCAATTAGGTCAAATGCAGGTCAACCATAACAAAACTCTAATATTTAACTAAGCATTTTGCAGGAAGTAGACCTGGGCATCACTATCATATAATTTGATAATTATTTATGTCTTTATATCAATAGGTACATTTATAGGGACCTAACTTTAAAAATGTTGTAATCTTTTTATAAGTGACTCAATTCATTTTTTAAATATCCTTTATACATGTATATCTGCAATCATATTACAAAAAAGGCCAAAATAAGATCCAAAACCAAATTCAAAAGATTTTGATTTAATTAATCATTTCCTTTTGATTTCCCCTAGCCAATTTTTAATGTCCTAATTGAATGAAGTAATTCTTTTACAAATCGTTTTTAAACCAGTTGATTTTAACCAATGGTTCACAGGTTCACAATTAAAACTGTCAGATGTTCAATTTACATTGTTACAGTTGATGTCATTTTTTTTCTCATGTTCTTTCTTTCTATAACTTTTTCTAAGTATTTGAATGTTCTTTGTATGCTACCCTATCTTCTATTTTCAGTGGAGCTACATCTTCGCTAGCCAAGGGTTATGATCCAGTCCCTTCCTCTCCACCCTTGGCGGATTAAGATAGAATTTCGGATCCACGAGGTAGAGGTAATTGGTCGCAGTTGTAACTGGCTGCATCTAGTCAAAAAGCACTTTTAAGATGATCACATGTAAATGTAGAAAATGTACATAAACAATTGCAACGTGCTGATTGTGCAACATGTCTTTACCCCCAAAACCATATGACGACATTAAATGACAATTTTAAAGTTCTTTATCAATTAATAAAAAGTTCTTGGGTATGTTTAAAGCAAAAATATTGGAATGCCAATATCTATTTTCGGCTCCAGCTTTACGAAATTTGTAAATACTAGACGCAACCATTTTAACACCTCCACACTGAAGAGAGTTCAAGTGCTGCCATTGGTCAAGAGTGATGTAGTAGATGGCGCAAAATTGTTATCACAAATGTTGGCTTAATCTGCCAAGGGTGGAGAGGAGGGGACTGGATCGTAACCCTTGTCTAGCGAAGATGGTGGAACTAAAGTTCTTTTATTGTCTAGCTATGTAATTGTATCATATTACCTCATTGGGTCTGATGTAAAATTCATAAACTCTTGAATCTGAGGTGTTGTCTCAGTTGAACTGTCATCTGACTGACTGGATAGGTCCTCTGTGTATCGTTCAAATAAAAAATTTCTGACAACATCCTCTGTCTCTTCTATAACTTGTTCCTCTGATTCTGGAGTTACCTGCCCTATACGAGGAGAAAGCTGCCTCATGTCAGATGGTTTCTTTCCACCACTTCCCGAGCCTCCATCCCAGTAGGCCATACTTCAACCCTAAAAATGGATATATAACATAATTTAGTAACACACTTCCTATCAAACTAAATTATTAATATGAAAATATTTGTATATTGGAGTATAAATAAAAATTTTGGGAAATTACTTCATAGACATGGTAAAAAAGAATTTTATTAGATAAGTTTTCATCTGATTTGACAGTACAAAATAAGAATACTTTTAATTCATATCAGAGTTGGGATCAAGCAGGAGTAAAGTAAAAAACCTCCCCTTAAATTTTAATTCAGAGTTTGCTACTAAAACTTTGATATTTTTTTGCTTTGAAAAAGCATGTATAGGTCTTCGGTCAGGTTGTTGTCTCTTTGACAATTCCCCATTTCCATTCTCAATTCTATTCTAAAAGTGTTGGCTACTAAATGAATTTAGAAAAAATGTATTGGATCCCCGATGCTGCTAATGAGATTAATTTACCATAAACATTGTACAAAAATTAAAATCTAACAAGCATTCTGAGAGTATTGCATGGCAATACATAGTCCCCTACCGGTTAAAAATTCATTGTACTGGAACAAAATGCTAACTTGATCTATAACTTGTCATGGTGTAAACTATATAACAAATATCAAGTCAATATCTTCAAGCATGACGAAAAAAGTGTGGAAAACTGATCATTTGAGTGAATTTTCTAAGTCCAAGGACCATAACTCTGCAGAAAATCATCAGACTGGAACTAATGCGAACTTAAAGGGAAATCACACTATTGTTTATACGCATCGCTCTCGGCGCCACTATAGTGTCGTGACCGTATTATGACGTCGCCGTTTCGAGTCCGTCGTAAAGGTTGCTAATTTCTAAAATGGCGACCCGCTCAAAGGGACGTTCACTAAATCAAGAGAAAGCAAATGACGTTTTGATTTAAGTGCAAAAAATGAAAATGCTACTCGAAACTGACAAAATGTATGGCAAAAAAATAGCCGAAAGTGGTCTTGATATGGTCTTGAATTACCTTACATTTGGGTTTAATTCAAATGAGTTACTCTCTTTAAATAAAGATATTATTATTATTATTATTATTATTATTGAGTTAGTATTTACATACAATACCATTTATACAATTATTTTTCTTAAAGGTTTATTAATTTCACCGAAAAATATTGTTAGATATGAGAAATATCAACATTTTTTGTTGATCTGGTCTTTATTATTTGTAGCGAAATCCGTCAGCTCAACTTTTTTTTGTAGAATTTTTTTTTTATTTACTGGAAAGTTTATATTTTCTTATATTAACATATTTATTGATCTCGCAGATTTTTTAGTTTCACGAAGAAAAATAAAATTTAAAAACAAAAGAGATATTTATAACACTTTTTGTCGATCATTTCAGTATAATCAAAGCGTACATCGGCGAATGTGAAATCCGTCCGGTCAACTTTTTTTTTTAGAAAAACATTTTGTTTTACTATGAAGTTTAAATGTTCATGTAAGATAACTATTAATATCGCAGATTTCTTAGCTGTATGAAAAAATATTGTAAAACAAAAGAGATATTACTAGTAACACTTTTTGTCGATCAGTTCAATATTGTAAAGCGTACATCAGTGAGTGTGAAATCCGTCCGGTCAACTTTTTTTTGTTAAATATTCATAAAATATAGTCTAATATTTCTAAGGTCTTCAAATATTAAAATAATCTATCAAATAACAAAAAAGTTCTGACTATTTATATCTCATCCGGTCAATACGGGCAATTGTAGATGTCATTAGTGTAACCCAACTGTTGGCAGCGTATCGTCGCGATGCGGTATGTGGGAATATACTGGAAGAAATAACAATATACCAAGAGTAACAGCATGTAAGCATACAGCTTCCGGAATTTGTAGTTTTCTGTCCAACAGAGGGATGTAAATAAGAACAATGAGTTTCGATGTTCCTTTGGTGTCAAACGCCTCTCTCTCTCTCTCTCTCTCTCTGTTTCTTTTTTTTTTTTGGGAAGGGGGGTATGGGGGCACAAACACATGAACACGAGTGATTCGTAGAGTAATCATATTTGTTGAAATATCAAACGTTATATAAGAATAACGCCAGTTAAACATCACTGTAAAAGAAGCATACAAAATTTTATATCGGTTGCTGTCTGTCGAAATCAAAGAAATTTAGCACCGTATTATATAGTACATTATACTCAATCTTCCTTTAATGCTTTGTACAGGCTTACATAATTTGGGCACAAAAAAAAATCATATTTTGTAGTATTTCTTCAAACTGTCAATTATAGCGAACTGTACGACCAGCAAGTTAAAAAATAAGGCCGCTAGACGTCAGAGCAATCTGGGAATATCAAACACTATGCCTAGTTATTTTTGTACTATTGATGACCGTACTGCCTACAACAACAACAACAAAAAATCCACACTGTATATTTGGCTTTACAAGACTCCAACAAGAGAAATATTTAATACACATACATGTATTTATGTAGAGTAACATGTCTTTCAGAGTGCTAATCTGTAACCATCACATTAAGGTCCGTCTTGTGAAAGAGTTTCATCTCATATAGAAAAAAATTTTGTGCTGATATTCATGTAATATTTGCCACTGAAAGTTTTGCAAAAATCAAGAAAAAGACGAAAACAAAAACAAAACAAAAACTAGTAGTTCAGATGTTGGTTCGTGTTCAGATCACTCAATGTGATCACTTGCATGTCAACAAACAGTGATATAGGGAGATTGTCAGATTCCGATCATGACTGTAAAGGACAACTATTTGTTTAATACAGAGGTAGCTGATTTACTCTTGATACCTTGGTTCTTTAAAAAAAAAATGGCCAACATGATATAGCAGAGTGCTGAAAGTGGCACACACAATCAATCAGTTATTTTCCAATTACCAATCATTAATCAGTTTTGGCAAAAAAAAGTAAATAGGCTATACCATACTGAAACATAAATGTGATAAAAGAATTATACAATTCAAGAAAGAGAGGTGCACCAACAGAAATTAGAAACTGCAATCTTTCTTTTAATTTCATCGGATCTCAGATCTCAAAATTTTAACTCTTACCAGAATTTATTCTATCTTACAGTATAACTCGGAAGTTTCTAAGTGGAACTCGAGCTTTAACTAGAACTCTTACTCGAATTAACATTCGAACAAAAAATAAAACTGGAACTTTAACTCTAAATTTAGCTGGAACTCGAACTCTTATTCTACATCAAAGATTATCCACACTCTCATTTGTCATCTGATAAAAAAATTCGTAAGGGTTCCACGGAACCCAATGTCTCGCCTACTTTTGCTGTTAATCGCAGGCTCAACAAAAATGAGAAAAAAAATCAATAAAAATATTCCTCTCGATACTATCTTTTGATTGTAAGAAGCTTCTGTCCAAGTTTGGTATAAATCTAGGATAGTTTATGGATCTAATAAATGTTTTAAAAACTTTAACTGCATACTGTATGTAATGTTGACTGGAAGAAAAACTAAGTCCATTTATAAGTAAAATACGGATAAACAGGTACAAAATTTTGACAAAATTTCCTTCGAGATACAAGCTTTTGATTATAAGCAAGCTTCTGTCCAAGTTTGGTACATATCCAGGATAGTTTAAGAAAGTTATAGAAATCTTAAAAACTTTAACCACAGAGTGAATGTATTGTTTCCTAGCAGAAAAACTAAGTCAATTTATAAGTAAAATACAGAAAAAATAGATTTTTTTTTACAAAATTTATTTCTGGATACTATCTTGTGATCATAAACAAGCTTCTGTCCAAGTTTGGTAGAAATCCAGGATAGTTTAAGAAATTTATTAAAACTTCAAAAACTTTAACCACAGAGTGAATATTTGTGGACGCCGCCGCCGCCGACGACGACGCCGACGACGACGCCGACGACGGAATGTAGGATCGCTATGTCTCGCTTTTTCGACTAAAGTCGAAGGCTCGACAAAAAACTAGAGTTAGATAAAATATATCGACATGTCTACAGAAACACGGATAGATGTAGCAGAACAAGAAAAAAAACTAGATCCGTTTATTACAAATTAAAAGATTTTTTTAAATACATCAACTGGGAACATTATATGTTCCTGATATCAATATGGCGATGTGTATTTTATTGTCAATTAACTCTAAATTATCAGATGCATTGTATTTCTCATAACATACCAACGTTGAGCGATTAATCGAACGGTAATAGAATATACGTAATACATGTACATAAAGTTTTAATACACAGGCGATGAACATTGAACATATTATGTACAATGAACATGAAACGATGTATGAAAAATGGGTGCGGGATGATAGAACTCAGAAAAAAATTTGGTTTCCACAGTTCGAATAAATTATGAAGCGTTGTGTAATTACGGAACCAATTTTAAATTCCTACCGAAAATAGGTTTCTTTTAAAGTGCTGAGTTTGTGGCATTTTTAACACGGCATTTCAGGTTTTATCTTCCCGGTGCGAATGGACAAGCTAGTGAAATTATGGTAACGAAATTATTCTGCCTGCAGTCTAAAAGGAACGTGTTACTTTTCAGCCCGGATACCCTCAGTCTTCCGAGGTAGAAGATTCTTTATCTGGAAGCCGAAAATTATTTCTATAATACGGCATGAGGCAAACATTCGTTTTCCCCATACAACAAATGCAATTAAAAAAATGAGATGACTTCAACTTTGACAATTACTTTATAATAAACTGTTATTGTATCTATGTTTAACGATTCGATAGATTGATAAAGATATCAATGAATAATCAAAATACCTTAAAAAATGTTCAAAAATGATATTATATTTTGTAGTGAAAAGGTTTAATTCAACCCAAGAGTTGCAAGAAATGCTGTTATGCCAGCAACGTCGTTCTATAACGTTAAAAGGTTATAGTTCCCGCCAAAATTCAATAATAAAGATTATTTCCGTTTTAGCGGATTTAAAACATCGGTGACCCCCCTTTTTTATTTATGCTTTTAAAATCTTCCCTGAAGCTGCAACTTTTGCAGAAGTTTGAAGGGAAAAACATTAGTAGATTTTTTTTATTTCAAGAAAAATCTATTATAAATAGCAATTAAAAATGGCGGGAAATGTTTAAATGTCTTCAAAAATAAGGAAACCGAGACAAATAAATGTTCATAAGGTACAAGTTACATTTGACTGTTTTTGTTATTCCAGTTAAACATAGTTTTTCAATAAGTTTGTCTTTTTTTAACAATTTAGAGCGGTCTTTCTATATTTCGTTATAACGCGATTCTTTAAGTTTTGATGACGTCATATCTCGAAAACAACATCGGTGACCCCAATTTTTTTTTCGCCTAAAATATCTTAATAAGTATGATCTGTCTACATGCAAAATTTCAATGAATTATTATTAGTAGTATAAATAGTGTGATTTCCCTTTAATCTGTAACTAGTCATGAAAAAACTATATACCAATAATCAAATCAATATCTTCAAGCATGACGAAAAAAGTGCGGAAAACTGATTATTTGAGTGAATTTTCTAAGTCCAAGGACCATAACTCTGCACAAAATCATCAGATCGGAACAAAATTCGACCTTGATCTGTAACTTGTCATGATGAAACAATATACCAAATATCAAATCAATATCTTCGAGCACGAAGAAAAAAGTGTGGAAAACTGATTTGCCGGACTGACAGATGAACAGACAGACAGACAGACGGATGGAGTGCAAACCTAAAGTCCCCTTCGACTTCACTTAGTCGGTAGGGGACTAATTATGAAGTTGTAGGCACATATCAAACACTTCAAATGTATATAATTACATGTATATATAAAGAAATGTCCATAAATTTCTGCAAAAGGTAAAGAACAGTAAATAAAAGTTAAAATTTGTAAAAATGCTGATACACATGTTCATGTATTATATTATATTACATTATATTATTATATTACTTAATTAAAATTCACAAAATTTAATGAAAACGTCCATTATCCTACCGGTTTCACTTTTGATCATCAGGGATAATGATAATGATAATGATTATCCCTTATGATCAAAGGTAAAACAGGTAGGATAAATATTGCAGAATTAGTCATTTAAATGAACAGTTAAGTAAACTTGTAAAATGATAACTCTTCCTAATTTCAAACAACAGAGATTAAGTTGTTACAGATTATTCATTTTGGTGCAAAGTTACTTGTCCTGAGTCCTTTGAAGGCCTTCCACCAGTTTTATACAGTAGGAAAAGGTTTCCGTTTTTACAGATTTCTGACAAAACAGTGACCTAGTTTTATCAAACCAGATTTTTTTGGGCCATATAATACCTCCTTGTGTTCCTTAACTACCTATGCAAGCATTAAGGATAATAGTTAATACCTACGGCCCATACCATTAACATAATGGCCCTCAAATGACTCCCACCCCCACCTGATTTTGGCTACTTTTCACAGTTATCCAATTTTTAACTCCAAGAAGGGCATTAAGGCGGTTATATTTTCATTACAACACATCTGGAAGGAGTCTAATGGACCATGAAATACAAGATTGAACTCCCTGCTGTCAACATAGTTCAGCTGGGGCTGGTCTTAAAAGGTATGGTGGGTCATATTAGCTATCAAAGAATGGCAGTTGCAAGGTGGGATTGGGGGCAAAGGGGTTAATAATTTTGAATAAAAGTAGGGCGAAAGAACCCAGGGCGAACAGACTCTAAGGGCAAATGAACCCAGGGTGAAGATCTTATAAGGGCGAGAGGACCTGACACCTAAATATCAGAATAAGATTAAAAAACCTTGAATTATACCATTAATATTATTTTATTTATAACAATTAGGGCAAAAGAACTACATGGGCGAACTAGGGGGAATGGACCTGATACGGAGAACACAGAAATTTATGCCCTTGGCCTGAATACTGAAGCCCAATAGGTCTACTTTCATTTCCAATAATGAAGATTAAGGATTTATATGTATCAACCTTATTGACTATCAATTTTCAGTAGGCAGATTGACAGATATGTAGAAAATTGACACACATGTTGAATAACGCTTTGTTGACAAAAGTATGGCGTAAGCATGTTCGATTCTAAATTTAGCTTACTCTACGGCACTGTTTTCCAACGGAATTCTTTCATGAAACAATTATCTTTGTGGCTCAGGGCTTCGTTTTATATTGACAGTTTTTTCTTAGTTTTGTCTTCTACTGTATTTATTTTTAAGATAGTTATCCTTTGTGCGTCATGGTTTAAATCCAAAAGTGTTTGGTAATGGAACTCTCCTCTGAAGAAGTTAATTACAAATATGATCAAAGTGGATACCACATAAAACAGTTCACCAGAAAGTACGTAAATTAATTTCAGATGTTTTATTTTTTTGTAAATTTATAAACTTTAAAATGTAGGGTATGCGCAAATAGAACTATAAAATTTTCTATATGATAAGAAAAGAAAACATTAAGATATATCTAAACATAATTACTGACGAGTGTAAAATTTTCAACATACAGTCGATACAGTATTCCAGTAGTACTAAGGGAGCAACCATTTAACTTCAAAGGGGGGAAGGGGGGAGGGTGATGGTTTTTTTGTCCGAGTCAGAATTTTTTTTTTTTAGTTTTTCGACGCTATCAATCAAGTTATTTTTTTTCAAAATTTAACACTATAATTAAGGTATGCGGAAAATTTGGAGAGTAAGAATATTTTTTTTGTCATCTGCTTGACCACAATATCATCGAACTGGGAACATACCCCCCCCCATTGAAGTTAAATGGTCGTTCCCAAGTGTGCATCCCTACTGGGCGACTTGTTTTTTGTACTTACATGAACCTTCTTAACGACAAAAAGAAAAGGCAATCTTAAAAAGTTCTTCAATTTCACTTTCTGGTATATATTGATGATGTCCAGTCACTGAATAACCAACATCAGAGACATTGTATTATGTCTCTGACCACTGCATGGAGAGTTTACATCTCAGTCATATATATATACAAATACTGACACTATGAGTTATGCTTGATATATTGATCTTTCCCTCGATATTGACCCCGATGGAAGACTTCAAACTAGAATCTATGGCAAACGTGATGATTTAAAAGTTTTCAATTGTCAACTCAAGTTCCATTTTCTTAAGGGAGCTACCATTTGATTTTTATGGGGGGTTGGGGGGGTTGGATTAAATTTGAAAAAAATAGGCAGGACAGGATCGAATTGAGTAAAAAAAAAAGGCAGGATGAGACACTTGCAAAAAAAAAGTAAGGATGACAACTTATTTAGGTAAAAAAAAAGTCAGGATATACTTTAAAAAAAAAGGCAGGACCGAACAGAGTAAAAAATAAAAAGGCAGGACAGAGATTACAACTAAAAAAAAATGCAGGACAAAATTTTTCATCCTAGCCCCCCCCCCCCCCCCCCCCCCACCCACATACACTCTCAGGCGGTCCCATCGTATGGCGTTTACATATCTCAATTATTAATGCTTAGATTTCGTGCATGTTCACACTATAAGGACTTCATAAGCAGAAAGGTGCTCCTTACACAAAAACTGCTCCAACATAGTTATGAGGAAGAACGACTAGTGAAATCCACTCGGCTAGCAGATTAAATTTTTTTAACCAGTCTAGGATTTTTCAGTATGCGGATATGGATAGTAAACTGCACATTGCTAAAAAAAAGAAATATTGATACCATCGTTAAATACGTTAATAAAGTAATACAAATAGACAGGAAATACAAAAAAAAATAATAATAATAAAAAAAAAACATTGATTTTTTTTAATCTGCTAACCGAGTCCCTGTGGTCACCATCGGCACGAGTTGGTCATGGACTTGCAGTCATTTCAGTTTTTTCATGGTTCCGTGTTGAATGCCTCGCTGTGACTCTGAAAAAAAAACAACAATGCGAGTGTTGCTCCTTTTCTCTATTTTTTTCATGTGCTTGTAGTCAGCGATTTTGTGTCATGAATATATCCGCATCCGCTAAATCTTTCCATTTCCATTTTAGTTAATAGTCACTTTTAGTCATATCATTTTTTTTGTGACATTATGTCTGTGCCTCTTATACAGCACTTCGTTCAGGAATTTGAAGTAATATGAGATCTTTTTAGCTATACATAACATATATCCCTGCTGCCCTGAATGGGAAATTCCTCAAACGGTGATAATGAAAACAGAGACATATATATTTGTAATATAGACATAAACAAATGAAAATGAATCGAATTATGTTGGGAAAAAGTAAAAAAATATACCAAAATGCACACTTTCAGTATACTAACACCTATTCTACAAAATAATAATTGGTGCAGGGTTGAAACTATACGTACGAGGACTTAAGATGGAAAACCGCTTACTCTATAAAGATCCTGCCCCTTTAAAAAATTGTTCAAAAACTAAAATTAAATGTTGTGTACACTATTGAGAAAAAAATCAAAATACATATATCCGACATAAACATCGTCATATCTATACAAAACAAAAGTGCACACGCTGAAATGTATCGCCTACTATACTTACCATTGATTTTATGTTGATAGTCCTAAATATAAAGTTTTACTATAAGTATCACATTAACATTTATGATCTAAGAAAATGAGGTCAAGCCGGAAATACATGTGCACCTTTAATACAATCATTCCATACACCGAATATATATGACCTATTGCGTAAAGTATAAAAGAAACAGACGAAACCATGGAAATTTTATATTGACCAATGAAGCATACAAATGAGCTCAAGGTCAGATGAACCCTGCCAGACAGACATGTACACCTTAAAATCATTCCATGCATCAAATATAGTTGACCTATTGGTTATAGTATCTAAGAAACAAAGTTAACCAGGAAAACTGAACATTGACCAATGAACCAGGAAAATGAGGTGAAGGTCAGATGATACCTGCCAGACAGACATATACACCTTACAATTATTCCATACACCAAATATAGTTGACTATTGCTTAAAGTTTAAGAAAAATAGACCAAAACACAAAAACTTAATATTGAACAATAAACCATGAAACTGAGGTTAAGGTCAAATAAAACTTGCCAGACTGACATGTACATCGTAAAATATTTCCATACACCAAATATATTTGACCTAATGAATACAGTATATTAGAAGTCTGGAGCTGGCATGTCAGTAACTGCTAATAGTCTGTTGTTATTTATGTATTATTGTCATTTTGTTTATTTTCTTTTGTTTCCTATTCTGACATCGGACCCGGACTTCTCTTATACTGAGTTTTACTGTGCGTACTGTTGTGCGTTTGTTTTTACTACATTGGCTAGAGGTATAGGGGGAGGGTTGAGATCTCAAAAAACATGTTTAAGCCCGCCGCATTTTTGCGCCTGTCCCAAGTCAGGAGCCTCTGGCCTTTGTTAGTCTTGTATCATTTTTAATTTTAGTTTCCTGTGTATAATTTGGAGTTTAGTATGACGTCCATTATCACTGAACTAGTATACATATTTGTTTAGGGGCCAGCCGAAGGACGCCTCCGGGTGCGGGAGTTTCTCGCTGCATTGAAGACCCATTGGTGGCCTTCGGCTGTTGTCTGCTCTATGGTCGGTCGTTGTCTCTTTGACACATTCCCCATTTCCATTCTCAATTTTATTAATTTTATTTTAGTATATTAGAAAAACAGATCAAAACACAAAAACTTAACATTGAGCAATGAACCGTGAACATGAGGTCAAGGTCAAATAAAACGATTCACAAACACTGTTGTCTGAATTTTTAGTCAAATATGATTAAATTCAACAACTGGTAATTTTGTGAAAAAGCAAAGAAAATAAAAATCTTGTCTGAACGCATATCTTCAGTACATGTGCAATCTTCTATAAATGAAAAAAATTAAGGCTGAATCTTTTATAATATATGAAAAGTTTGCTAAATGTTTGCGGAGGTACTGACAGGGACACTGTTTCATCGCCAGGGTATCCACGTTTAGGTTACATGAAAATAAGAACCAGAAGACGCACTGATTATACAATATGTCTCCTTTTCTGGAAGGATGACATCAAATAGATTCCACATGGAGCCTGGATCGTTCACTTCGCCGATATGCTGTGTTTAAAACATTTAAATGTTCTTTTATTAGAACCAAAGCAATTATGCGGTTGTCGTTTGTTGCTGTATATCATATTTGTTTTTCGTTTATTGATTTGTATATAAATCAGGCAGTTAGTATTCTCGTTAAAATTGTTTTACATTTGTCATTTCGGGGCCTTTTATAGCTTGCTATGCGGCATGAGTTTTGTTTATTACTGAAGGCACTATAGTTGCTAACTTCTACGTCATTTGGTCTCTGGTAGAGAGTTGTCTCATTGGCAACCATACCACATCTTCGTATTTTTATATATACATTGTGCCTTCTAAAGAAAGTATCTGCAAATCATTTTTTTTTAATTTCCTTTCATTTGTACTTACAACGAAATCAAAACGTGTTATCTCACAGCGTATCCTCGCGATCTTTCCAAATATGAAGTAGCAACAATTGTTGTAGATTTTTACAGTAACATCCCTGTCACTTTTAGTTTCGATTGATTCTTTGGTATTTGAACATTAACTTGACCACACTCAGATTAAATTGTTGGCACTTTAAATTTAAGCCATATTGAATCTTTTTTATCAGGACCAAAATAATAACACTTAGTAAGTAGCTTCTAAATATAATTTTGTATTTCTCTTCTTTTGTTCTTGAAAGGAGCAGATAAATGTCTTTCCCATAGGTTTCAATGTTAACGTTGACCTCCGTTGTCGACCGTATTGTATTTCAAATCGGCATCAAGTAACATCACTTGTTAAGTTCATTTACAAGAATATACCGGTATTTAACAAGTTTTATTTCAATCAGTTCAGCAGTGCTTGGAACTTCGGGCTAATTTAACATTCTTTTTGGCTCTTTGAAGCCATATTTGACTGTTTATCCGGAACCAAAGTAATTATAACAACACTTGTTAAGTATACTATCTACGGAACATTTCTGTGTAGATGTTTTCCATGTCACTTATCTGCTCTTGAAAAGAAAAGCAAATTAGGAACGAGTCAGCATGTCGAAGAAGAGGAGCACAGTTGGTTCCCTTTGGAAGGCAATTATTTGTTGAAATAAAGTAATCTTAACGTAACCAATATTATTGCACCAAATGCGCAGTAAAAATTATAGAAAAGAAATGCAAAATGTATTTCCCCCAGTGGTTTCTATGTAGACTTTGACCACCACTGGCAACCATTCTGAGTTTCTGATCGGCGACAAATAACAACACTTTTTAAGGACTTAATGAATACATC